TAGAGCTCGGCAAGGGGGGCATGAAAGTCTAACTTCCACAAGCTGAACCCGAGATGTCCGTCTGGGGGGCATGCGGTGTCTAAGAGGCTACACCAATCACAAGCAACACATGCTTGTGCTAAGCATACTAATTTGGTAAGTATGGAAAGGGGGGCATGCCTCCAACCACTTGAGTGGACACGAGGGCATATCTAACAAGTCACTACGTGACGAAACCATAAAAAGTTTTCTGGATTTAAAAATTTGGCCAAGTATGGACAATGCATGTCCAAGAAGCCATATGAAATCCAAGCACACATGCATATGATAAGCATGCTAGTCTGGCTAAACCTGGACATGGGGGCATGCACCCATCATGAAGTATGAAGTAAGGGGCATGTCTTGGAAGACACAACAGTTCCAAGCACTCATGGCTTTTATAAGTGTAAAAATATGGTTAAGTCTGGACAAGAGGGCACGCCACCAATCACAAATGGTGGCATGAGGTCAAGTCCAACAAGAAAAGATGTGGGAAAGCCAAAAAGAGTTTCTCGTAGTCTTGAAAATTTAGCTAAGTATGGGAAAGGAGGCATATCACAACCATAAAAAATGGAGTAGGGGGCATGTCCAAGAAGCTAAAAGAATTCCAGCTACACATGCTTGTGATAAGTACGCAAGTTTGGCTAAGTGTGGACAAGGGGCAAGTCCATGTCCATGAGTAGTAAGTACATGTCATCAATCATGAATGATGGACATAGGGGCATGTATAAGAATGTATCATACACACAAACCAGACATGGCCTCACAAAGAACCAAAGATGGTCGTGTGCTAAGGTAGAGCCAACAAGGTTTGGAGGTTGAAAGACAAAATCAAGTGGGCCACATGGGTGGTCGCCAAACTTGTCAAGACTAGACATCGTCTCCAACAACATGAGGAGAGTAAGCATGTCTCAACCATGAGGAAACCAAGGCAGAGGAAAACCCATGGTCGTCTTAACATGTCAAGTGATGTGGCTAAAGCATATGAGCAGGAGGCCCATGCAAGGCCACCAAGGCTAGACATGATGATCATATACCACCCACTGGTAAGCTAGAAGATTCAAAATTAATGTATGGAGAATCATGTTCCATGGAGGAAAAGAAGCAGTGGTATATGGATGGCTTGCATGTTTAATCCATGGACTTGGCAATGGGTGTACACCTTTGGTACATTGATTGTTGCCAAAGGCTATGGAGAGCAGTGACATTTGTCACTTCTTGCCATATAAAATAAATAAATTTAGTTATAATGTACTTATTATATATTAGTTTATAAAAAAAATATATTGTAGCCAGCCATGGCTAAAAGAAAAGATAGAAGGAAATTGAATCGGAGTTGTTAGACTTCGACATGAAGATCTTGCCACCAAGTTATTGTGATGGCTTGACACGACGAGCCATACATCAGCCATGCCATGCCATGTTATCTTGTCCGAGTAGCCACGGCTGGGGGCATGATGGACTTGAAAGTGGTAGTCGAGGAGTGGTGACCATAATGTCTTACCAACATAAAAAATGAACATTATTTTTTCTAAGACAAAAAAGTAGCGGCTTGACTTGTCGCGAGGGAACTGTTAGCCTTGTGACGAGGTGGGATGAGTCAATCTATGCCAAAATAGGTGCGAAGAATTCTAAGTTATTCTCTCAAACCATGTGGCCAAGTACGAGATGTCAATGGGGGTGTAGGTGATAAAGTGAAGTTGGTGTCTCGTTGAAGCATTAGGCGGCTCTTGACCATTAAAAGCAAAAATTTGGCTAAGGCATGAGGCAAAGTTTTGACGTCGAGTACCATTCCTACCACGTTGGCTTGACGTGAAAGTCAAGTTTTTGGCTAATGATGAACTAGGTGTGTTGAGTAGACACTAGCCAGTTGTTACTTCACTAGCATGGTGGTGTTCAACTACTTAGTCCATAAGCCTTATGCACTAAGTAGTGGGGGGCATTTGTTACACCATAAAATTTGTCTTGTACCACATTGGTGAGTTACAAGATAATTAATGAGTTTATAAGGCCACACCCATATAAACAATTAATGTTGTTTCAGTTGGGCCTTATGGATATTGATTTTAGGCCCAAGCTACTAAGTCTAAAGAGAGGCCATGCCGCCTCAACGAAGAGGCCATGCTGCCCCATGACCAAGGCCTAATGACTAAAAAATAAACTAAGTCTGGAAGAGGTACATGCCACTTCAAGGAGAAGCACGTGCCACTTCACGAGAAGGGGCATAGACGCAAGAAAAGATAGTAAGTATGAGAGGGCCATGTGTGTCACGAGAAGGCCATGGACATGAGTAAGAAAGTCCATGGCCGCGAGACAAGAAGGTCATGGACATGAGTAAGAAGTCCATGGCCGCGAGACAAGAAGGCCATGAACATGAGTAAGAAGTCCATGGCCGTAAGACAAGAAGGCCATGGACATGAGTAAGAAGTCCATGGTCGTAAGACAAGAAGGCCATGGACATGAGTAAGAAGTCCATGGCCGTAGACAAGAAGGCCATGGACATGAGTAAGAAGTCCATGGTCGTAAGACAAGAAGGCCATGGAATGAGTAAGAAGTCCATGGCCGCGAGTAAGAAGTCCATGGTCGTAAGACAAGAAGGCCATGGACATGAGTAAGAAGTCCATGGTCGTAAGACAAGAAGGCCATGGACATGAGTAAGAAAGTTCATGGCCGTAAGACAAGAAGGCCATGGACATGAATGAGAAGTCCATGGCCGCGAAGCAGAAGACCACGACCCCCTTTGTGAGACACCACATGCTTATCAAAGACTAGCATGACACGAGATTCAGAACAAGACCAGGCGAGGCAAGTTACACTCCAAGACCCACGACGGTTACAAGAGAAGCCCTAGCGGTTGAAGGAGTAACCACCACTCCGAGGAAGCAGGGAGCGTTCTTTTTGGTGAGTTATCCAAGAGGCGGTTTCTACCGAAGAAGGGGGAGCGGTTCTTTGTAGCAGTTATCCACAAACGGTTTTCTATGGCGGTTACCTCCTCGGGGCTATAAATAAGAGGAGGGGTCGACAGAGACAAGGGGTCCAAAACAAACACTCTGACACACATGTCAAGTTTATCCTTACCTTTTCTCTATCATGTAGCCATAGATGTAGTTCGTAGTTTGGAGCTCTCGCCGAACCTCCATAGGAGTAGAAGTAATTTAATTTAGATCTCGTTCCCAAAAAACCATCAATCGAACACCCTCGTTCGAACTTTGTTTGAAGAGGTGTGAGCCGTGTCTTAGAAATCGTTGTCCATAGAAGTCAAAAGGTGCAATCCATCTCAATTCAACACAAGAAGTTTTCTCGCCGGAAAACACTATGATACCCTATCAGTAGGTTATATACCATAAGTTCAACCCAATACTATATTTATTGCTAGGAAATATTTTACAACCCATCACATTTACTCTTATTTTGTAGCAACCCATCACACTTTCTAATATTTTACTACCAAACATATTTGCCTTTCACTTCTACTCCTTAATACCGGAAATTTCTTGAACTAATAAGTCACAACAAACTCACCATATGCCGGAAATGTTAGGAAAACATCAAAACTGTCTTCCGGATGAACTCATTTGCGCGAAGTTGGCAGAGGAGAGTTACCAAAAATCATTCCTTGCCTACTCTCTCCCTTTTTGTACGTTTCATTAACCCGATTCCAACTCCATCTGGCTTGAAACTGGGAGTGGACCGCCGTGCATCGCAAGTCTTGGTCTTCGGCAGCTTCAACCACTGAAGAAGGTGAAAAGCCTAACAAGGATGGAATCAGATGCTAGAGAGTCAATGTACCTGGACACATTCTCCTCCCACTATGTCTAGACCCCTCTCCTTTCTCCTTAATAACCCTTCCTCCCCTTTTTCCCCGGACCTTCCTCTCCGTCAGTTGTTTATCATTCCACGCGCCCTTACTCCAGCCGCCGCACCAATCTTCCGCCGCCCATCCCTCATGGCGCTCTATCCACCGTCTCCGTTCCCCACCCCGACAAAGATGCCACTGCTGCTGTCACTCCAAATTCCTCGCAGACCCAGCACCCGTTACAGGTTTTCCATGTTACCCTTGTTTTGTCTTTTCGGATTCATAAACGTTGATTCGGTTTCCAATCTGGGGTTTGGTTTTTGATCGCGATCGGCGGGTTCAATGGATCGATCGGCTCAGATATTGGTTGGTGTCCTGTTTGATTTCTCATGCTTTAGGGTAGCGTAAAGGGAGTAGCTTGTGTATTCTTGGGGCTGGTTGGTTGTACTATTTGCTTCTCTTGTCCTGAATTGGAAGACTTACTTGATCAGTGTGAAAAAAGTGCATCTTTCATGTTTGGTGGCATTGTGAATTGAAGGCATGGAGAATGGTGCTCGATATGATGTGATTCCCATTATTGTAGTACTAGTTGGTTAAGAAGTAGGGTTTTTCAAAAGTTCAAAAAGCAAGTTGGCGTTGTTTCTGTTGGTGCCAATTAAGAAGTTCCAAGAGGATGGTCCCATCGGAGGAAAATGAGTTCTATGTAGCTGCTGCTCAATTGCATCCTTCTTAAGCATGCAGTTCTTTAGCTTGCTGCTTTTGGAGAGCTCAGATTCGTCATTTTGGCTTCTACTTTGGTGTTTGTTTACTTGAATTTATGTGTTGCTTACAGAGTGGGAATAATGTTTGTGAAGCTATATGACGAACTTGCTCGTTGCTACACGGTAGGATGTAGCTGCAAGACAGCAGAGTGACTAGTGGAATCATTTCGTCTGATTCTTTATTGTTATCAAAATGGGTCTGCATTAGACTTAACTCTTTGTTGGAGTTCATGTAGTAACATCGATAAGTAACTTGACACAACATTCTTTTCCAGGTTGCAAAGCGTTTAGAGAAGTTCAAAACTACTATATTCACTCAGATGAGCATGCTAGCTATTAAACATGAGCAATAAACCTTGGTCAAGGATTTCCGAACTTTGATGGCCCCGACTTTGTTAAAGAGGCAGCTATTCAGGCCATAAAGGATGGGAAGAATCAATATGCTCGTGGGTTCGGGGGTCCCGGATTGCAATGCTGCCATTGCTGAGCGATTCAAGAAGGACACTGGTCTTGTAGTGGACCCCGACAAAGAGATTACTGTACCTCAGGCTGCACAGAAGCCATAGCAGCAACAATGTTGGGCTTGATAAATCCTGTGTGATGAAGTGATTGTCTTTGCTCCTTTCTACGACTCCTATGAGGTACACTATCAATGGCAGGTGCCCAAGTCAAATCCATAACTCTGCGCCCCCCAGATTTTGCTGTTCCACTGGATGAGTTCAAATCTGCCATATCGAAGAATACCCGTGCAGTTCTTATCAACACTCCACATAATCCAACTGGCAAGATGTTTACTAGGGAAGAACTGGACACTATGCATCACTCTGCATTGAGAATGATGTGCTGGTTTTTTCTGACGAGGTCTATGATAAGTTGGCCTTTGAAGCCGATCACATCTCTATGGCATCACTTCCTGGGATGTACGAGAGAACAGTGACCTTGAACTCTTTAGGGAAGACCTTCTCATTAACCGGGTGGAAGATTGGGTGGGCCATAGCTCCCCCTCACTTAACGTGGGGAGTGAGACAGGCACATTCTTACCTCACTTTTGCTACATCTACTCCAATGCAGTCGGCAGCTGCTGTAGCACTTCGAGCCCCAGATTCTTACTACGAGGAGCTGAGAAGGGACTACTCGACAAAGAAGGAGATTCTGGTTAAAGGGTTGAAGGATGTTGGCTTCAAAGTATTCCCATCGAGCGGGACCTACTTTGTGGTGGTCGATCATACCCCTTTTGGCCTCGACAACGATATTGCATTTTGTGAGTATTTGATTAAAGAAGTTGGTGTGTGGCGATTCCGACTAGTGTTTTCTACTTGAATCCAGAAGATGGGAAGAACTTGGTGAGGTTCACCTTCTGCAAAGATGAGGGAACGTTGCTGAGCGCTGTGGAGAGAATGAAGGAGAAACTGAAGCGAAACTGAGACCATTGTTATATAGATTGTAGCTTTTCTTTCGGAATGTATTGAGAATTTGGCACCTGATGTATGCTTATTTATGTGTCGGAAGGCTAGAGGTCGGCAGAACTCATTTCTGATTACCTAGTTGCGCAATAAGCAGGACCGTTTTCTTTCGAAAGTCAGTTTTCTCCCATTTGTGATGGTAGCATGATGTAAAACATGACCACCAAGTTGGCAGAGTAGAGTTCCCAAAATCCCCAGAGTTTAAATTGCGCATTACACTGTTGAAGCAAAACTAGAACATTGTTTACCAGCAAAAACCAAATCAATCAAGTTTTTAAACACACCAATCTAAAAAGCATTATCCTGAACAAGCTACAACTGCCTTCTACATGTCGAAAGTTTATTATTACATGCCGTTAACATGGGCTTCCAAGAAACGAGCACTCAGCTTCGATTTCGCAATTCTACATAGCCGCTTCATAAGAGCTTAATTTGGTCTTTTATCTCCCAAGAAAGAGGATTTTAATCTACCCACAAAACCAAGAGGTCGCAGAAGGCCGGAGAAACCCATAACAACCATCATGTTTCCAGTTTCCATCTACCTTTGGTACTCATTACAGCAGTGCCAGCCTTGCTGACTACTCTTGGCAATTCATCGATGTCAGGTATGAGTATGACAAGACACCCAGGAGACAGGCTTACTCTTCCTGTGCTTCAGCATTCAGCAACCATATCCAGGATGGGGCAGCAGTTTCTTACTTATCGGGACTAGGGATCCCCATAAGAAACCAGACCTTGCTGTCCTCCTGACAATGAGCTTGATCTCGACCTGCTACTAGCTGTTCTACCTCGTTTTGGTGGTGCACGATCTGGAGATTTCGAGAGAGGAGACGATGACCTGCTCCTTGACCTGGAGCTAGCAGTAGACCTGGATGTTGACCTCAGTCTTCCTTTCTTACCTGAATTGTCATCATCAATTCGAGGGGCCAAGACGTGATCTCAAACCCTCACTAACAGGAGGCCGCTTGTCTGTTGGACTGGGACTTCGTATAGGAGGGCTCTGGCTCCTGCTGTGAGCTCTGTTCCTTCTTCCATGATAATTTCCTGGGCTGCTCCGAGATCTGCTCCTACTTCTACTTCTACGACGTCCATATCTGCAGTATATGGTTGGATTTTAGCAAAGGTTGACAGATGATATAAAATATTTTTCAGAAAGAAAAGCAATTGATGAGTGATGCATTGTAAATTGTTTATCAATAAGGCATTCAGAAATTAACTATTATCTGTATTAAATTTGTGGCATTATAAAAAAAAATTGTTTTAAGAGTCCGATTGAACATGTTCATTTTAACTTGCTTTCAAGCCAAACTCTTTTTAAGTTATTTTCAAAGGGTATCTACACATAACCCTATTTCATCGTTCATGATTTAGGAACATGGACTAAATATAGAGTGGAACCAGAAACAGCACCTAGGGGGACTTCTGCCTCTTGCTGGGCTTCTGTATCGTCCATACTGTGAACGTCCCGAATAATTTTGATAGCTTGAGTACCTGTACAGGGAATAGGTAAAAAAGCATAAGATGGAGGGAAAAACAATTTGAACCCAAATAGTATTGTAATGAAGTTAAAACAATGCACCCGATCAAGATATGTATACCTGTCATTGTTCCTTTCATTGACATTTCTTCCCCCATAATAGAAAGACCTGCGAGGACCCTCTGGAGAAGGGGGTGCGGTATCGACGAGCAAAGGAATACTGTTGGGTGAAGCCACGTCCTTTCCTAATGCGCTTGGGGACACCATTCGGAGATGGGCTTCGTGACTCAGCACCCCGCCCTCGGTTAGAGGTAAGAGGTCCCAGAGCCCTACGAGCAGGACTGTGCACAGGACTCCTTGAAATCCTCTGCTCTCTTTCAACAGACCTTCTAACAGGACTCCCATAATCACTTCTCAATTTTGGACTCCGGGAAGCTTTTTCAGGACTTTGGCTCGAGATGCGCCTCTGGCTGTTGTTTGGTCTCTTTCTAGGGCTTCGCATGACATTCCTGTGTATACAACCATCAAGAGGAGACTCACATGAGCTCTAAAATCACAAGGCAGAGACATGAGCCAACACAAGGAAAAAATTAGATGATGATTACACACTTGGATCTATCGGAGTCGTGAGAAGAAGTGTGGCGAATATCATTTTTATCAGCTTTAGAATCTATATCATGCCCATTCTTCAAAAGCTTGTCCCGCTTCAGAGGCAATTCTCCTTCTTCATGTGGAGAATTCACTTCAGTCATTGACTTCTGTTGGCCATTCCCTTTGTGTACTGCAGCTTTCTCAGATTGTTGACCACCAGACTTTTTTCATCTCATCTGTACCATAGTAACCTTTTAGCCAAATATACAAGGCGGGCAAAGTAGATGAAAATTGCATGAAGTACCGCCATGTCCATGTGAAGACAGGACATATATGAATGGCACATGATGATTGCATAGGAGAAGGCCTACCAAGATTAAGCATCGAATTTTCAGCCATAGTAGAATTGTTGCTTTTACGAGAGAGAACACGATCAGTTTCATTGTCTTCAGAACTACTGCTTCTGCTACTTTCAGTTTCAGAATCACTTGCACTGTCCGAACTCCTGAAAACAAAACAATTATCAAAATGGACAAGAAATAAAGGCCTAGAGGTTGCTGTTACAGTAAATACAAAATCAAACCGTTTAGACTTGCGCCTGGATCTCTTATCACGCCTACTCCTCTTCTTCTCCCTTTTCTTGTCCCTCTTTTTCCTCTTGCCTTGGCGTTTATCTCTTTTCAAGGACTTCCTCTTCTTGTGTCTCCCATCACTAGAACTTGAATCAAATGATGAAGAATCTGAGTCTGAAGTTTCAGAATCTGAAGAATAAGATTCTGACTCAGAATCTGAGCTGTATGAATCAGATGAAGAGTATCTTTTTCTTCTTCTCTTCCTTCTATCCTTCAGTAATTTTTTACGTCCTCCTTTAACCTTTTCATCAGAGCTATCATCTGAAGCAAATTTTCCAGATTTCTTTTTGGTTCCTGCACAAGTCACATTGTACTTCATAAGGTAAGCTCTAAACGAAATAATTGGATTGCATGTACTCCATTTGTTTGTAAATTGAACAACCATAAGGATACCTGAATCCTTTCCCACAGTATGAAGTTTAGCATCAGAAGTTTCACCACAGTCCACAACTCTTACAGGTTGAAGAGGATCCCCTTTAGCTGTTCCTACCAGTTCAATTTTCTTTAGTATATCAAGTCCCTTAACAACCTTCCCAAAAACAACATGTTTCCTGCATATATGTAAAATGTGAGAATCCAGAAAACTCCAGTGCTACTTAGCAACAAACATTGCCAACGGCTAAATGATCAGAACTAAATGAAGATCTTGTACCCATCAAGGTGAGGCTGACTCTTAAAAGTAATGAAAAATTGAGATCCATTCGTGTTCGGACCACTATTTGCCATAGAAAGGATGCCCGGTCCTTCATGCCTCAATTTAAAGTTCTCATCTGCAGCAGAAAAATGATCCTGTTAATAAGAGCAAAGAGATTGACCATTACGTAACAAAAAAATCATGAGAAAGAAGATTAACCTGAAAATTTCCCTCCATAGATACTCTCTCCACCAGTACCTGTCAGGCAAACAGAGTCAGCCCATTGAAGTGCAGCCTTTGGATACCATTCTTTACTGAAACACTATTGAGAGAGAAAAACAAAATGCTTACCGTTTCCCTTTGAGAAGTCACCACCCTGTCAGCAAAGGAATAACCAAAAAGAATTATCAGGAAATAGTAACCAAAAAAATATGTCCTATAGTGAACCATATGCAAGTATATTTGAAAAGATACAAAATGGTCACAGGTTAACATCAAATGGTTAGTAAAATACTGGAGATGATTATTGAGGTAAGGCTAAGATGAGTACAATGCCCCCATGCAAATTTTCAAATTTCTAATCTTAAGACAATAGAAAGTTCTCTCAAACACCGGGATTCAAACCAAACTTGTCTGCAAATAGTAGCCAGACAATTAGTATCATATAGCATGGATGTATAAGTAAAAGGGAAAACTGCATACCTGAGCCATGAATCCTTTAATTACTCGATGGAAAGAGGATCCTTTGTAGTGCAGAGGTTTCCCAGTACTATCCCCAATCCCCTTCTCCCCTGCAATTGACAATAAAAGAAATGCATCAGATATGCATTATAATTGCTAAATATAGATACCAGTGCTTCACATATGCTGAAGCACACCTCAACAAGAAAAGTATTTCATCAGTTCAGCATGCCATAAAAGATAAATATAAAAAATTAAGAAGACAGTCCTATAACAATTCATGGCAACAGACCGTGGCAATCACAATAAACAGTTAATGGAAATGAACAAACAGAAGGCAAGTTAACAGCAACCATATAAGGGCAGTGCTTGTGACAGTGCAGCTAACTGCAGTTTGTGAAGAACAGTGAAAATTCAACATACCAGTGCACAGCGCCCGGAAATTTTCTGCGGTCTTGGGAACAACATCAGCAAAAAGCTGCATTTGGAGGGAACAGAGTGTTATTACTCACTCGAACTCCATTGTTACAAAAGGAACCAGTGGGCAAATGGAGTCAAAGTACTTCCTTGTAGATTACCTCAATAACAATTCGTTCCGCCGGATCCCGGTCGATAGATAAATCAAAAAACACGGAAGGATTTTTCTTCTTGCTCATCTTTGCTTTCCCTGTAACACGGCAATAAACTGTTCAGGTTGCACACAGCTTAGGTGAACATTCATTAGTAGAGCAACTATATACAGATACAAATAGTGAGGCACACATCCATCGTCCTACAGCGAATTCTCACGAGGAGCTGGGAACAAAACCAAAAATGAAAATCTACAATCAAAATAATAGGGACAACGTTCCATTATCAAAACGATCACTTCATTCGACGAGGCAAAATAGAATCTTGGATCTTTATAATAACAGAAGGTGTGGGGGAAGCAAAAACCCTAAACCCTAAATCTAGGGTTCAAGAAATTCTCCGGATATTAAGCCCCCAGTCGAGGTCTATCAGATTTCTAATTAGTGCCAGCATCCATAAAAGTGGAAACGCAAACTAGCAGAATAACGCATCGGTGAAAGTGGCGACCGTACGATCACTGAGATAAAGGCAAACAGAGAAAAGATAGGCAATTGTTTCAGCTATGAAGCTGAGATGAAGGATGAGCAGGCAACTTACCTTTGGTTGGAACGAAACGGGAAGCAAACCAATTGGAGAATGGAAAAAATGGCGCCGCCGACTGTAATCGGCAGTGACCAACTCGTAAGTGGGAGAATATCAAACTCAGTTGACGAATGGCCGCTGGCCGCTGCTGCCCATCATAGGCTAGATTTGTCCTGTGCCCGAAATTCTTTTTTGCTTTTTCTTTTTCGTAGGAATACGGCAAGGTTGTCAACCCGCGGGTCGACCCGCGGGTTGACCCACTTTGACCCTGACCCGGTGAGAAAAACGGGCCGCACGCACCCGCCGGGTCGACCGCTACAAGGTACCGGGTTGGAGGTCAAATTGTATCATTTTTTTCTTTGTTTTGCGAAATGCGCCTATTTTCCGATTTTTCTTTTCGCCTACCTCAATCTTTGGAATCCTAAGTTGAACATTTGAATATTAATGTTATATAAGTCTGTATGAATTTTCATTATATGTTGAATCTAAGTACGAAATGTTATTTTGGTGTATAATATTATATGTTATAACTCATATGTTAGATGAGATTTGATATAATTTTATCAGGATAAGTACAATATAATGACGCTTTCCATATTTCCGGGCTAAACCGGGCTAAAACGGGTGACCCATTGACCCTTGACCCACTAGCTCAACCGGGTCCGGGTCAACCCGCGGGTTGACAACCTTGGAATACGGTGTTTAGGGTTTTTTCCTAAAAACAATGAATTTTTTCAAAATATTGTCCAAGACACGATAGAGATGGCAAA